AGTATATATATATATATATATATATATATATATATATATGCAGCCCCAGTTCCACGAAGAGATGAGAGAACAATGTGATGTACAGTTTCCAATGTGTTTTCCATTAGATGCCACGGCTGGCAGCAACATCCCACAATGGAGCCTTCAGTCTTGGGGGTGACACCTCCAGCTGTGAGGCCGAATCTAAGAGCTTTTATCCAGCATGAGGGAGCCCGGCGTCCTGGGGGTGGGGGGGTGGACCATATGGTGCACGAAGGAGCAGAATTCTTATGCACCAACCCAGAAGTTGCACAAACTCACAGAGCAGCGCAACCATTCCATTTTCATTGAATAAAAAACCTTTTGGAGAAACTTTTCCAAAACTACCAGCTGACTAAAAAAGGGCGCAATAAAGTCGGGAAATTGATTAATCTAATTGGGATTGCAATTAAACTTATCTTAACCTTGAAGACGCGACTCCTTTACGTGTTACCGAAGCAAATAAATGTTTTATTTCTTTTGAGAACGAAGAAGAAAGACTAAAGTCGGGATTCAGGCTTCCTCCTGATTCTAACACAACTGCTCAATTACCTTAAAGTAATCCCCCTCTTTATATTCCAGTCGTGTAAGTATATCCACACTGAATTGGTCGCTCCAAAAAGGCGCAGTAAGGGTCCTTTGCAGCGGCTGTAATCCTCAGAGATCCTGCGCTGTGAGAGCATATGTGTGACCCTCCGTCCACATCCACCTCCGCCCTGACGACTGCGCTGCAGCTACGGCGACCTGTAACTGATTCAATGTTACAGTCCTCCCCCTCCTCTCCTCCACCCCCCGAAAAAAAGTAATAATCTGGCTCAAAGTAAATAACTCTCAGGAAATGACACCCCCCTCTTTCTTTCTCTCCTCCCTGTTTTTGCTAAGAGCCCTTTTTTCAAAGTAAGAGTCTTTATTTGGGGGGGGGAAAAGGATTTTTTTTTCTTCGTACGGGAAAGATTTTTAGAAAGTGTTGAGTCTATCCACCGTCGGACTTTAATCGAACGTTTTCACGTGATATTTGTTCTGTTACTTTTGACCACATTTTTACAAGAACAAATCACAAATGTATTTGCTTGTGTTTCAGTGATGCAGCGAATGGACAAAGAGGCGCATCAGTCGGTGAGGAGAACCGGGATGCGGCGGCCACGTAGAGGGCGCTCTAACACCATCATTTTTACAAAGCACCCCTTTATCCCTCTCCCTCTGTCTTTCCTTCTGTTGTGTGTGTCGCTCTTTCTCTCTCTCTCT